AACAACTTTGTTAGCAACACACGGGTCATACGGATTGAAAACAAATCCCTTTGCCTCCAAATCACTTCGAAATTGATTATAGAATAGGAGGCTCGATTGCAACATCCCATATATAGCACGTAGTACCAGCACATAGATTACTCGTTTTCCGTTCTCTAAAACAACATATTCGCGATACTCTGGGGCCATGTCAATCAATATCTGGATTGCCTCGGATCTACAGTACTGTTGACGAAAATGAACTCGCGTGAAGCATTTGCGGTCACCAATGAAAAAGGGAAATATTTATACAGATCCAGAAAATGCTGGCGTAATGCTGGAAGTTAGGTACAGCTATATCACAAAAAATGCTTTGTTCTCTACGCCAGTTCATCATCAAATTTGTCGGCATCCTGGTAGCGCCCGCCTCGACTATTACTTTCGTCCGTGTATGCATCATTTTCAAGGTAGCCCGAGGGTTGGTCATAGCCATCTTCAGTGTAACCATCAGATTCAATGTATCTATCCTGCCCTTGACCTCTACGTGAATAATCGTCTTCGATGTAGCCAACAGGTTCTTCGGTTTCGTCTCCATAGCCAATATATCCAGCTGGTTCAAACTCTTCTTCTTGGTATGGCAATGCTGGAAACTCTTCCATCTGTTCTTCGGGTGCAGGTAAGGCAGGGTATTCTGGATCGTAGTAATCTTCATCTTCTAGAGAATCATCGTCATCCATGTGCTCCTTCTCTTGATATCCAATAATCGTCACAAGAGGTTGACAAAGCGCTTTGTCGAAGGCATACGCAATACAAAGAGCCGCAAGTAAGTCGTTTCCTCGCTCCACTTCAAGAAGATTCTTGGACTGGTCAATGTTGAGCTCAGGATCTCCTGCACCGGGGCGATGAAAATCAATTTGCCATTTTCCAAACCGAACCAACGGTGTACAACATATTGTCATGCTTCCTAACCAACCATGATGCGCCTCAAGATGGCAATCCATATTTTCCAAGTCCTCTTCATGGATGGAATATTCATAACGACACTTTGTTGGACGCACTTGCAAAAACGAAAACGGATACACGGATTCTGCAAAGCAAAGCATTATCTTATCGTGTCAGACAGTGACAGTACAATCCACGAAGGGATATATTCTAGTGTACTTACTCCCGTACATATCACGTTCCTTGTACTTTGGTTGACCTGGGAAATTGGGGCGGTAAGTGCAGAAGTCCCAACCATCCTTGACATATTTAGTGATCAACCGTCTTTTCACATAGCATAATTTGTGGCCATTTTCATCACCAAAGATTGCTTCATAAGCACCCATGGCGTGATGTTGCACATCAAGCACAGAAAACATGGGGTTGCCAAACGTATCAGTGATTAAAGTATCCGGTTCCCATGCGCCATATGGCACCTTCAACCCAATTAATTCTTTTGTTGGCGGGAGACCTGCCATGCAGCGTTGCTTCATGAAATGACAGATCCACGGCATGAGAGAGACCATGGTTGACCAACGGACGAAACAATTGTACTTACAAGAGGTTCAGCCATATCGCAAAGCTCGTTGTATCTTCTTTTTGTTGTGGCTTTGCAAATTGGTCACAACGAGGGTCATCGTGCGATACGATTAGAATTTTGGGGTTTTGATTTTAGGGAGTACCAAAACAACAATAAATTCTTCCAATTTGAAATTTCATCATGTTCAATGTATAGTATGTGTATCCTAGCTTTCAAATGAAATAGTACTATAGTTTCAGCGGGATAATAGATTATCAGGGGAAGAGCAAGTTGGAAGCAAATTATTTGACTGACTCTACGAGTACTCTCCTCGAAAAGTACCAGGTAGTATCAGAAACACTCCTATGAAAAGTATGACAATATCTCGTGAAGTAAATACAACACATTAGTGCCATTCGAAAACAATTCAATCGATGTATTCATCGTGTAATCTGTTTGGGTTCACTTGACAAACGACATCCCGCATAGTGCTCCAGTAGCTCTTCCTTCCATCCCAATGTGGCGCATAAATCGGTAACGTTTTCATTGCAATTTCCTTCTAGAAATATATCTTTCTTTTTTCGAATCTTCAAAACTTTCTCTCTATTGAATAGAACTCGGCTGCAATTGACCATGTTAGGTATTAGAGAGACTGGCGCAACTTGCAAAGAAGTTCCCATTATCAACAACAAGTCTGCTTTTGCAACATCCGTTTTCAAGAGTCGGTAGTAGAAACGTTCAGGCTGAGGATAGAACAATTGGTGTTTAGAAAGGAAAGCCAACAAGACAGCAAAACATCATTAGCATTCGCCATCATAGCAAGCATGACGCACCAGTGATTCCCCAAAAAATACAATATCGGGTTGCACGTTGCCCCTGCAGTTTTCACACTTTGGTACGGATCCTTCCTTCACAATAGTGTTCTTGACTTGATCGGGATCAGCTTGTTCGTGGCATTTGATACAAGAGGCTACAAGGTGGTGAGATTTTTTGCAGTAATACAAATGTCGTTTTCTAAGATACCAGCTTGTTCTTACAGGAACAAAAATGCCCATGGCACTCCTGTCGGAGCAACCATTTATGTGAGACAAAAATGTGAACAGAAGCATTCTATCCCATAGTCAATCGTCTCAAAGCCTTACCACCAACTCCTCTTCGGGGATTCCGGCTAGATCTTCGAGACCATCAATGTTCTGAGAATAGTTTCTCAACAACAAGCCTTTGTTACTCAGCAATTTCAAAAAAGAGTGTGTAATTGTTGGTGAATGCTTCAATCCTGGCCAAAGCTCACTGGCAAGCGTCACAAAAGGTTGAGGCTTCGACCGAAAGAAGCCGACATCAAAAACTGCTTCAGGATAAGGCAAATTGTAGTTTTTCAAATTGGAATAGAGCCCGGTTCCGGGAGTGCTAAAGAAATCATTGAGATGCCCCACACCTCAGAAGACAATCACTTTACGAGTATCATCAGCGTACCGAAAATCATGAATACCCGCTGCAACAGAGACATTGGATAGCGAAATCAAAAGAATAGCATGATCACTTAATAGATGAATAGATGATGACGGGAAATCCATTTCTGACATGGGACAGCCTTACACCGGCACCGGAAAGAACCAATATTTTTTTGCTTGATGATATCCAATCTGCAAGGGTGCGGATATCTTGGTTACTTAAACGCTCCCCTCCCACCTTCAAAGCAGCAACATGATCTACAAGACTTTTGATATCGTCTTCACTGTTACCAATACTCATGACAACAAAATACAGCATCGGATGACAAATGAAAAATTTAAGGTTTCAAGGTGGTCCAACTAGTCATACGGAAAATCATTCTTCCCGTATCCCGTCCCCCTGCCAGCCCCTACGAAGGGAAATGGCCGATGGTACGGTAGAATTGAGAATAGTCCTAATGACCCCAACCCTTTTCCTCCCATACCAGGAATCGAAAGGGCATTCTCAATAACTACAAGCTGTTAATTTGAATCAACCAACAGACTTGCTTGTATACAGGATAACTGAGTCATTCATCAATTTGTTAACTAGGGCAAAAGAGATTGCCGGTAACAGTTGTCATGGCCATGTACACCTGAGCTTTGGTTCACAAGCGTTTGAACCAGTTGGAGGCATTGTATAGTAAACAACTAAAGAAGTTGCTCTTGACGAGAGTCCTGCCACTCGAGGCGGCAAAGATGTGAAGGTGGCCGTATGCACGAAGATAGAATGTAATAGGAGTGACGAGAGGTAACTCTAAAATATTGTGTGAATATTCTAAGAATGATTGGATGTGATGTGGTGCTGAGGTGGTGAAGCAAAGAATGTCATGCTGTAGAGTTCTTTGTTGGTGAAATGGGATCTTAATAGATAAAAGAACAGTCGAACATGTCGGACAGTGAAGTCGGACATTCGTGATATCGAACACGGACGGGAGTACGGTTCGAGTACGTACAGACTGCTTGTGGAGATCATTGTTGATCGACTTCTGGCAAGAATAGCAGTAGAATAAGATCTAATAGGAAGTGGTGAGACTGTTCATCCGCAGGTAGAAGCCCAGCATCACTGGCACCTGTTCCTATTGTAGGCAATCCATAGCCGACGTAGATTCGAGCTCAGTATACTCCAGAGGTGGCTAGAGCGTTGAGGCTCTCATTACAGCTACGGAGTTGATTATCTGACAATCTCTCCAGCTGCCGCCTCGGGCGAGAAAAACGGAAAGGTCTCCACGGTGCGGCTGATGTTGGATCCAGCGCTGCGACCGCTCCTTCTTTCGTCCAAGCTTCTTGCGCTGAGGAAAGACCGCCTCTGTGGGTCAGTTCCATGGCGACTGTCCGCTCTTGGCCCTTCTTGGCTCTTGGCGCGTCGCACTTTTGCAAGTTCAATGGGAAGAAGAAAGACACGGTGGGAGCGGTGGAAATACAACAATCAGCTCATATAACCGTTACGAAACGCTTACCATTCTCCCCACCCTTGTTTTCCATGTAGATAAAGTTGGATTTCGGTTCTGGCGGACATCAGACAAGCGACAGGCTTGTCGTCGTCCAAACCGATTGACAACTTTGTGGCCCATAAAGCCATCATTCCCAACCAGCCGTGCCAACATGCGACCCATCAAGTCGTCATGCAGAGGCACCGACCATAGCGATCTCCGATCCGCCTAATAGGAAATAATCATCTCTACAGGAAATAACTATTCTAAAAGACTTGTTATCTACATGGAATGGGCAAAGCAAAAGCCTTGCACGAAAACTCAAATTTCCGAAAACTTTACTGGATGTTTGCAATCCAGAAAGGTCGGTACAAAACCTTGCCGCAATCTTGATGTTTGTCGCGCAACAAAAACACAACAATACAACAGGATGGTTGGCGCTTGATATCGGGAGGCCGAGGAAAGTAGGCAGGCCTCCGGATCCGCGTCTAGGCAGCGGTCTTGATTTCCCACAAAGCAACAATTCACCTTGCCTTCGAGCTCCATCACTCCCCCACACGACCGACGACAACTGGCCTTGAATTTGCAAAAAGCAATCTCTCCAGCTGCCGCCTCGGGCGAGAAAAACGGAAAGGTCTCCACGGTGCGGCTGATGTTGGATCCAGCGCTGCGACCGCTCCTTCTTTCGTCCAAGCTTCTTGCGCTGAGGAAAGACCGCCTCTGTGGGTCAGTTCCATGGCGACTGTCCGCTCTTGGCCCTTCTTGGCTCTTGGCGCGTCGCACTTTTGCAAGTTCAATGGGAAGAAGAAAGACACGGTGGGAGCGGTGGAAATACAACAATCAGCTCATATAACCGTTACGAAACGCTTACCATTCTCCCCACCCTTGTTTTCCATGTAGATAAAGTTGGATTTCGGTTCTGGCGGACATCAGACAAGCGACAGGCTTGTCGTCGTCCAAACCGATTGACAACTTTGTGGCCCATAAAGCCATCATTCCCAACCAGCCGTGCCAACATGCGACCCATCAAGTCGTCATGCAGAGGCACCGACCATAGCGATCTCCGATCCGCCTAATAGGAAATAATCATCTCTACAGGAAATAACTATTCTAAAAGACTTGTTATCTACATGGAATGGGCAAAGCAAAAGCCTTGCACGAAAACTCAAATTTCCGAAAACTTTACTGGATGTTTGCAATCCAGAAAGGTCGGTACAAAACCTTGCCGCAATCTTGATGTTTGTCGCGCAACAAAAACACAACAATACAACAGGATGGTTGGCGCTTGATATCGGGAGGCCGAGGAAAGTAGGCAGGCCTCCGGATCCGCGTCTAGGCAGCGGTCTTGATTTCCCACAAAGCAACAATTCACCTTGCCTTCGAGCTCCATCACTCCCCCACACGACCGACGACAACTGGCCTTGAATTTGCAAAAAGCAATCTCTCCAGCTGCCGCCTCGGGCGAGAAAAACGGAAAGGTCTCCACGGTGCGGCTGATGTTGGATCCAGCGCTGCGACCGCTCCTTCTTTCGTCCAAGCTTCTTGCGCTGAGGAAAGACCGCCTCTGTGGGTCAGTTCCATGGCGACTGTCCGCTCTTGGCCCTTCTTGGCTCTTGGCGCGTCGCACTTTTGCAAGTTCAATGGGAAGAAGAAAGACACGGTGGGAGCGGTGGAAATACAACAATCAGCTCATATAACCGTTACGAAACGCTTACCATTCTCCCCACCCTTGTTTTCCATGTAGATAAAGTTGGATTTCGGTTCTGGCGGACATCAGACAAGCGACAGGCTTGTCGTCGTCCAAACCGATTGACAACTTTGTGGCCCATAAAGCCATCATTCCCAACCAGCCGTGCCAACATGCGACCCATCAAGTCGTCATGCAGAGGCACCGACCATAGCGATCTCCGATCCGCCTAATAGGAAATAATCATCTCTACAGGAAATAACTATTCTAAAAGACTTGTTATCTACATGGAATGGGCAAAGCAAAAGCCTTGCACGAAAACTCAAATTTCCGAAAACTTTACTGGATGTTTGCAATCCAGAAAGGTCGGTACAAAACCTTGCCGCAATCTTGATGTTTGTCGCGCAACAAAAACACAACAATACAACAGGATGGTTGGCGCTTGATATCGGGAGGCCGAGGAAAGTAGGCAGGCCTCCGGATCCGCGTCTAGGCAGCGGTCTTGATTTCCCACAAAGCAACAATTCACCTTGCCTTCGAGCTCCATCACTCCCCCACACGACCGACGACAACTGGCCTTGAATTTGCAAAAAGCAATCTCTCCAGCTGCCGCCTCGGGCGAGAAAAACGGAAAGGTCTCCACGGTGCGGCTGATGTTGGATCCAGCGCTGCGACCGCTCCTTCTTTCGTCCAAGCTTCTTGCGCTGAGGAAAGACCGCCTCTGTGGGTCAGTTCCATGGCGACTGTCCGCTCTTGGCCCTTCTTGGCTCTTGGCGCGTCGCACTTTTGCAAGTTCAATGGGAAGAAGAAAGACACGGTGGGAGCGGTGGAAATACAACAATCAGCTCATATAACCGTTACGAAACGCTTACCATTCTCCCCACCCTTGTTTTCCATGTAGATAAAGTTGGATTTCGGTTCTGGCGGACATCAGACAAGCGACAGGCTTGTCGTCGTCCAAACCGATTGACAACTTTGTGGCCCATAAAGCCATCATTCCCAACCAGCCGTGCCAACATGCGACCCATCAAGTCGTCATGCAGAGGCACCGACCATAGCGATCTCCGATCCGCCTAATAGGAAATAATCATCTCTACAGGAAATAACTATTCTAAAAGACTTGTTATCTACATGGAATGGGCAAAGCAAAAGCCTTGCACGAAAACTCAAATTTCCGAAAACTTTACTGGATGTTTGCAATCCAGAAAGGTCGGTACAAAACCTTGCCGCAATCTTGATGTTTGTCGCGCAACAAAAACACAACAATACAACAGGATGGTTGGCGCTTGATATCGGGAGGCCGAGGAAAGTAGGCAGGCCTCCGGATCCGCGTCTAGGCAGCGGTCTTGATTTCCCACAAAGCAACAATTCACCTTGCCTTCGAGCTCCATCACTCCCCCACACGACCGACGACAACTGGCCTTGAATTTGCAAAAAGCAATCTCTCCAGCTGCCGCCTCGGGCGAGAAAAACGGAAAGGTCTCCACGGTGCGGCTGATGTTGGATCCAGCGCTGCGACCGCTCCTTCTTTCGTCCAAGCTTCTTGCGCTGAGGAAAGACCGCCTCTGTGGGTCAGTTCCATGGCGACTGTCCGCTCTTGGCCCTTCTTGGCTCTTGGCGCGTCGCACTTTTGCAAGTTCAATGGGAAGAAGAAAGACACGGTGGGAGCGGTGGAAATACAACAATCAGCTCATACATCCGTTACGAAAAGCTTACCATTCTGTGTTGAAATTGCTCTCTTGGAGACCATTCATTGGAAACTCCTTGATGGAAGCCCTTAGTACGGTCAGAGGGAGGAGAGTGTTGAGGATGACGGAAGATGGGGAAGACCGGGGACGGGGAACCATCCGAGGGATTGTCAGAGACCCGAGAACTGGCCAGAGACGGAGTAGAGGACCCTGGACCAGAGCCTGGGTCCAACGCATTGCTATGGTCCGAGGTCGACAGAGTCCTTGCTGTGTGATCCGGAGTCACAAGTTCCCTCCAAGAAGCAGCAGCGGTGGTGTCTCGAGGCGGAGGTTGGTTGGCGATGGCCGTAGTAGCCCGAGGTGGCGAGCTCGGTAGGGGAGCCGTGAGCGGACTTGACTTGACTGCTTGCGCTGGAGTAGCCGGCGGAGTTGGCCTGAAAGTTGACCACAGCCGAACTTGAGTCCCATCTCACCCAAGACCTTGGTCAATATAGAGATGCCAAGCGGGGCCTCACTTCTAAATGGCGAAAGGCTCATGTCACTACTCGTACCCAGAGCATTGCTAAAGTCCGCCACAAGACGGCAAGCCAACGAGAACGATATCACCGCTTAAGGTCCATGAAGCAACGCGAGGAGACTCGTCGGAGGCGCAAGGCTCGTTCCTCCGGTTTGTCTGGCGGTCTAAGGGCCATTCAAGTCGAACTGGAGGACAGCTCTGGCAATTGTCGGTTACAGACCATTACTGACCCGACGTCGGTCGAAGATGGATGCATGCAAGAAAATAGGGCCAGGTACCAACAAACCCAGACCCCACATCCAACTCCTCCCATGTCTGAGCCTCTCTACACTATGTTCACGGGCCCCGCCGCCGACAACAACCAACAACTTCTTCTGGAGGGCAAACTCCCCATCCCTGGTGGCCTGGCTTACCCTACCCAAGCCTTCCTTTGCCACTGTCGACTGCACGACAGTTACCGGTCTCGTCCTTTCCCCTTGACGGTTGAAGAGCACGTGGACTTTTGGAGTCGCACCCCTGAGAACAAGGGTTCTGAGCCCCACGGCCTCCATAATGGCCACTTCAAGGCAGGCGCCCTTTCGGAACTGTTGGCTTCTTGTGATACGGCGTTTCGGGACCTTCCACTCCGTTCAGGCCATGTTCCGGAACTCTGGAAGAACCTGATGAACTTTGCGATTGAGAAGAAGCCTGGCGACTTCCGCCC